TTATCTATTCTACATTTTGAAATACCAGTTTATGTCATTTATTTTTGATCTACTGAAAAAACAGTGAAACTTTGGACAGGTCTACCAGAAACAACACATCCAAATAACATGGAGGAAAATGTCTGTGAATGTTTTTTTTCTATTTAGTCATCTTACACACTTAGTTTATCTAACTGACAAGTTTGTAAACATATACCTTAATGTAAAGATACAGAATGAAACATAGTTGTCTTACAGAGATTGTAAATGGAAATGTTGTAATTGGAGTTGTAAGGTGCCCCACAGAATCAGAATCTGCATCTGTACCTAAATCCCCAGCTATTTCTTATTTATACAGTAAAGTTTAAGAAGAGCTGTTCTCGCTCAGAAAATAAAAGTCCCTTTCGCAAATGTCAAAAAGGAAAATTTAAAAGAGCAGTGTTTATGTGCAGGGGTCCCATTAATATGTGCACTTAGCAAGTGTAGACCATGATTCCAGCACAGCTATGACACAATTATTTATAAAGAGAATACTGATCTCTGTGGAAAGTTTTAGGAGTTAAGTTTCAATTATCATTAATTTCTGTAGATTATCTCTTGGGAGTGAACTCAGAAGACCATCGTATACAGAGAGCACTCAGATTCTTTCTCCTAGTCTTACTTTGCTTATGTAAGTTGCTTCTTTTCTGCCAACCTGGTGTGCAATTTAAGTGAACTCAGCTCGCTGAGTCATACAACTTAATCCTGAAATAAGGTCCATTGAGGAAATAAAACGTCCTCTAGTATTGAGGAAGAGGCATTTGGGTTTACAGCATCATCTTCTAAGTTATTAAAAACATGTGAGCTCTTGCTTCACTTACTTCTGCCTTTTCTGCCCCATAGTCTTTGTGCTCCCCTAAAAATGTATTTCTGCCAGAAGCTGTGATTGTAGAGTCTATGTTGCATGAAGGCAAATGGAAGAATAAAACTTTAAAATAAAAGAGGCATAATTTAACTTTGTCCTGGAGTGTCCTGGAGTCTGCTTGGGCAAATGCTTATAACAGCAGGGGAACAAATACAGCTTCCTGAGATGAACTCTGAGGGCACGATTCTCATGGAACTGGAGACTTTAAGTGACATATGAGTGCTCACAGGATTAAAATATGCTGAGGGATCTGCTCCCCTAAAATCCAGGAAATCAGCAAATATGCAAAGTGAACCACATTCGGATTCCATTAAAACCGCCATACTGTGGATAGTATTGCAGATACGTTTTCCTACATGGGGATGAACCTGTGTAACTGGATAACATTTGTACCACCTCCTCTTGAGGTCTGTATTTGGCTTAGATTCCCAGATAAGTATGAGTATTCTGGATCTGTTAGCTTTATCTCTCTATTAAGTAGTAACGCCATACTTTGAAAATGTGCTAGCAGCATCATTTAATCATCTTGATCATCTTTTCTGCTAGTGTTCTTTATTGGATTTGAACAATGTCAGGATAGAATAATGAACATGCATTGCTCCTGTGGGCCAGCCAGTTTCCTAAGCACTTTACATACTTAAACACTTTTAATTCTTACAACAATGTTATAAATTACAGATGAGGAAATTGTGCAGATGAGGAAATTGGGGTGGAAAGAGGTTAAATAACTCATGGCAACTCATGTCAATCAGTGTCAGAGTCAGCGCTCCAAAACTGATTCCAGACCCATGTGCATTGCCACTGTGGATACTGTCTCTCAAGAAACAAGTAATCATTCTGAATACATCATTAAAAGGCTAAAATAACTATTTAAAAATGTGTTTTTAACAACTCTTTTTTTGTATAGATGATTGTTACTGCAGATGTGCCTGCTCTTTCTTTAAGGGGAACTTCTCCAACGATATATTTTAGGCACATTTCCTTTCAGATAGCAACCGAATAAAATGCTCCCCATACCCTCCCTCCCTGACCCCACACTGCCTCCATGCACCTGCTGGCTTCTTTATTCACATGAAGACGTACCTTGGATGTTTCTGCTCTTCCTCTCCTTGCTTCTGCCT